GGTTTAATTAAAAGAATAAAACTTTTTTTAAAAAAACAGGTATAAACAAATTGCCTTAGCCCATATTTCAAAATGTGTTTCCTTTTCTTGCCCATATAAAATGACAACAGTGCGTTTCCTGTTGTCATTTCTAGTCCCAAAAATGCTTTTTCAGGAGGCAACTGGACGTTTTTCTTTGAAGACGTTTTGCTTCTCATCCAAGAAGCTTCTTCAGGTCTGACAGAATGGTGGAGAATGGAAGGATTTATATTCCTTGCAGACAGCTGGTCATTTGCATCATTCTAGAGGGCCGTTGAGACCACTTGGAGGTTTGTTTCTGTCCTCAGGGTCACCTGAGTGGTGCAAATGGTTCCTGTAGTCTGCAATTTTTCCCTCTGGAAATCCCTTCCTACTCCGACACCATCAAAGGGTGCCCATCCCAAATTGTATGGCTAAAAGTCTGCATAGATTCTCAGCCATCCAGGTCATGGTTGTCCCCCAAGGTGCTTTTTCAGGAGGCAACTGGACTTTCTTGTTCTTTCTTTGAAGAGGTTAAGTTTCCATTTCTACCTAACACAAGATTGCTCAGGGGTGTCTGCAGGATGTGGTGGTAAAAAAAAATCAACACGGCGACCACGAGGGGTGGCACCTCAGTCGCGCTATTCTGTCAGCCATCTTCACTTTTTTTAGCGAACCCCTGCAGTCGCTCCAGGTTGTTTCCCAACACTTCCAAATAAACTTTGCCACCATTTTAGGTTCTTGAATGGTCATTTATTTGCTGATAACCATAGACCTTTTTCCCTAGGAAAAGAAAGAAACAACACAGGCTTTTCTTAGACGTGGGTGAAGGAGAATCTTCGAAAGACAATAAAAGCAGCGAGGAGGATGGTGAACTGGGAGAAAGTCACAGTGCACATATTAGCGAAAACGAGGAAAGGAAAAAGGAGGAGGCTTTGTGGGCCAGCTTTCTTACTGATGTTGGCCAGAAACCCAAAGTTGTTTCCGCAGAACAATCTCCCTGCAACCAGAAACACACGGTAAGGAGAAAATAATCATTCAGACACCGCTGTTTGAAACGAAAAGGGAAAATTCCATTACGGTTTGTTCAATTATGTATCTCCTTTCTCCAAACAATATGACTGAATGTCAACAAATCTCTAATCAAAGGTCTCCAAAATCAGCCGAACTACAATAAGCTGTATTTCTCTCCATGTATGTGGACGGTACCCCTTCGCCATTACAACCAGAAGGGTAGGTTTGTCTAAAAGGATGTTAACCCAAAATGAGACCTTTGTGGATGATAAAAGGGTTAACAATAAAAGGATTTAAGGCTGCATGAAATTATGTGAATGAAAATAATATAATTAAGCTGAAATGGTATCTTTTCATTTCCCATGGAAAAGTTCTTGCTAGAATTCTGGCAAGTCACTAGCCAACTCCTGAATGATATTTTAACCATTGCTACATGGACAGTAGTTGTGATGAGCCAGGGCGTGGCACAAAGGCAACACAGCCAGAGAACTGGTATGAGTCCCTTTATTGGCACCAACTTTGCCCCAATGTTCCATTTACTCTCCGGCCTGGAGAAAACCTGCCCCACAAACCTACAGCAGCCTCTGGCTGTAGAGATTCCAGTCCAAATGCTGTAAGCAGAATGACTGCAATCAATCACTCCAGCAGAGCAAGGTAATGAGTCCAAGAAATGAATAATTCCAACAAGGCAAGATAAGCACACAGAAGCATGACAATAAATTCAAACAGGAGGAATGCAGGCCACAACTCTCAACACTAGATGAATTCGGCATTTGTTCCCGACAAACACCCCTCCCCAACTGCCTCTCCTTTAAACTCCATCCCCAGGTGTTCCTTCCTCGTAAGCCACACAACCCATGTTGCTCTCTTCTGTGTTCTTCCTTGCGTGCCCTAGGATGAGGAGGAGGTGAGCCTTGGTCTCCATCTGAACCCCCTCTCCCTTGTTCTACCTCTCCCCTACTCTGCCCAGCCTGACTTTGCCATGCCCCAATTTCCTCCATAGCCAGTGGAGCTGCTCTCTGTCAGCTGTTCATCTTCCGTCTCAGATTCAGACTACGACAGGAGCATGACAGTAGTCCTCGACTTACAACAGGTCATTTAGTGACCGTTCAGAGGC